CTGGATGTTAGCAGCCATGGTAAAGCACAGTGAAAGGCCTGCTTAAATATGTTGATATCTCAGGAGAAAGCAGGAAGTGCATACATAGCACAAACACCCCAAAAGCTTTACTGACATCAGTCTGTACATACACATTCCCAGGTGCACAGCAGCATGAGAGGCTCCAGCTCTTACATGGTAGGGGTTAAACTGCATGAGAACTAAAAATATGTGAATCTCAAGAAAGTAGGTAGGGATGGGAACAAATTAAAACTTGCTTTTTTTAAAAAAAAAGTAAATACAGCATAAAGCATAGCTGTCTGAAACACATGGTTGGGTTTTCTCCTGGGAAATTCAGAGATTAGGCCCCCAGCAACATGTGGAAAGCAAAATTATATGTATTTGTTGTGGGATTTCACTAGAGAGGCATGAAACAAAACCAGTCATTTTGGATCAAAACTGAAATGTCCAGAGTGCCGGGCTTTGACAAAACTCATTGAATCTCTTACAAAATTGCTCAATTTTATGAGTTGATTCCAACCTCTCCCAATACAAAAAGTAACATGCAGTCCAGGATCAGATTCATCAGACAGTGTCTCCTAGTTTTGAGTAGAACATAAACACTGTATCCATATGCACAGCACTGGCCAATGCACTGCGTGTTGTGTTTGCATTAACTTCAGAGCTGAGCTGTAAAGGGACAGCAAACAGTGCCCAATTGGTGACACATCCATTAAGGACCCATCTCACACCCCCACACAACCAGTAAAAGTTGACACACACAAATGATGCAGTGAGCCTGTCACAGCCAACTTACTTGGTCAGGCTAGTTTAAAGGATAAACCAAAAAACTGTTTTCAGTAAAAATACTTCCTAAGCATCTGTTTCAGAGGGTAATCCAGGTGGATATTCTTAACTGCTATGCAGCCAGCTTCATCACTGATCATTATCTGAAATCCATGGAGTTTCTCTGTGCTGGGGGCCCTGAAAAGTTGTCTCTCCATCCTCAAAAGCAATTCAAAAAAGTAAACAATAACCAGATTATGCATATGTACAGCCGCGTGCTTGTGTGTACAGTTTAGTAGAAAAGTTTCTCACAGTTTTCTTCTGCCTGTCTCATACAAATCACTGTTTATTTTAATATTTCCTTTTTCAGAACCTCTTCAAAAGGAAGTGCAGAGCATGGCATTTCTAGAAGTCATATCAAAACTCCGCAGCCATGAGAACAAAACTGTTGCCCAGCAGGCCTCGCTAACAGAGCAGAGACTTGCTGTAGAAAGCTGAGGAAGGTCTTGTTTCCAGTGCATCCCATCACAGATTTCACTTCTGTCCTCCGTCCTGCTGCCGCTCCTGCTATGTTTTCCACTGTATCACTTGTGCATGCGTGTAACGTTCCCACACAAATTGATGAACTGATGTAGGTACCCATCCAAAAAGGTTTCTACAAATTCATAGGTGGTGTTAACATGAAACTGTCTCCACCCGTAACTGTTCTACTTGTATTCTTGTTGCTTGGGCCACATAGTAGAATGTGCATGTTGTAGTCCTATGATGATGTAGAAGTGGTACTACACAACTGACTCTTTCCTCATGCCCCCTAACTGCATAAAAATGTACTACTAAATTAGGGACAATACAAGATGCAGCAAGTCCAGACTAGTGTGCTGACTATAGGATTAAGAAGTAAATCTAGCTCAATTTCTGGTGCTTTGGAGATTCAGGTTTGAATGCAATGTACTGCTGCTCATTCACTGGTCTTGCCTATTAATGTCAAATTCGTGGTACCTAGAGGTAACAAATAAAAATTTCAGTGCTCTCACTTTATCCTGTGGTTTGTCCTTTTTTTCTAATCCCACGCAGAAGCTGCAACTGCACCACCATGCACTGGTGAGTTCTTTTTGCTCCTGGCTCTGGCCCAACACAATTGCTGCCTTTCAGCTGAGCAGACACAAAGGAAGCTATTCCAACCACTTCCACTGTGTGTGCTCCCACAGAGGCACTGTGTGGCGCAACAATCATGCATTTTAGCAGCAATCATGCATTTTAGCAGCAGTGCATGATGCAATCCTTACCCTATAAAGCCATGTGCGTATGAGTGCTCCTGGGCTTGCTTGGGATTGCTTGTTTATTTATCAGGGGGTTTTTATAGATGGATTTTTAAAGGTCTGTCTTGCAGCAGCTGTTCAAGAGAAGCCCATCAGGTGAGAAATGCAAGATGCAAGAGACTTCCTTTTTCTCTTTTCCTAGGTAAGAGAGATGGAAAACTGCCAGTCTCAGCATCCTATCTCACAGCTGCTCTTCCATAGATCTATAACATGCCAGCTAGCTAACCAGCAGACAGCCCTTTGGCAAAACAAGGAGCTAGTTGGGATAATGGTTTCCAGCAAGCCTGCAGATGCTATTTTGAACTGTGTGATACCATTGTGTAGCTTGATAAAGCCCCCCATGTATGAAAGTCATAAGATCTGTAACATTTTAAAGTGAATTCAGCGTTCTTAGTGCTGAAATGGCAGCCTCAGAAGTTTGAAGTTCCTTTTCTTACCAGCAGAGGCAGCAAACCCACAGTCCAAGCACCCATGAGATTCCATGCCAGGTAATTGCAGACCATTGCTTTTGACCTTCACAAATTCACTCCCCAGCTCCATGAGACCACTGCCTATCCCTCAGATACTGTGATGGGAAGATGCCAGTCATGAGGGTAAAGGGATTGTTTACACAAGCTGAGTATGAAAAGAAACTTGACTTCAATAGTCAGCTTAAGCTCTTCAGATGATACCAAAACACAGCAGATGCTACAGGAGTTTTCACTCTGAAGAGATTTCACATCTATTTAATCAAGTGCCAGAAACATGCAGAAAAAGCCTCCAATACCAAACTGCACAACAGCAAAAAAAAACCAAAACCAACAGAACAAAACACACAAAAAGACATTTGCTAGTACTAGTGCAATAAAGCCACTGAGAGTACAGAGGTGTCAGCATGGACCAGGAACTCGTGACATCAGGCTCCAAATAACAGAACCTCTGCACTTCTGCTGAAAATAACCAGCATGTTTACAATCACAGCTCACAGGCCCTCACAAGCCCAAGTTTTCTCAGGCACAGAAACTCTTTCTATTGACTTAAACAGAACCCAAAATAACATTTGAAATGTCAGTTACAACAACCTGCCTGATTCTAGAAAGAGACTAGTATTTTTGACTGATCCTCATGTCCTCATGACTGAATTTTACCAGTGCAGTTGGTATAAACTTCAAGTGCTCACACAAACTGGTTGTGATACTGACAGAATTCCCATTTGGTTGTCTAACCAAACAGCTGTGGTTAAGCATTAGCTCTATTCTCACCACCAGATGTTTATCAGGAATACTACTGTCACAGCAAGTCCAGTGGTGATACCCTACTTTCACATGGTTTCCCTGGATGGAATACCAAATGACATACATTCCTAGATAAAATCTGTGCTGAGCCTAGGAAGGAAAGCACACGTAAGGGCAAAGATGGGTGTATGTCACAGCAGAAGGAGGTAATTGAAAAGACTGTCTAGCCACAGAAATGCTGTGCTGTCCTGAGGCATGCTGCAGCCTGCAGGTCACTTCTGTGTAGCTGGTAAATCATTTCTCCTCTGAGCACCTTTAAAAACAAATGGGATCTAAGGACATTACTATCACATGCATTTCACTACTCACTGCACTGAAGTCAAGTGAAGTGGGACCACTGACAGTAATTCCAATTAGATGTTTACTAGCTAGATTACATGTAAGCAAAGCTTGACATATGCTGCTCAGACTGTTTCTATGACGGCAATGCCAGACATAGGGCCTTGTCTTTCTCTTTAGTGCCACCAAAGCCAAGCCAGAACGATCCCTACAGCCACACCACAGGGCAGGCAGCACCTCCCTCGAGTGTCACACTCATCATCTACAGACTTTGCAAGGCCCAGCACAGCACTGTCAGGAAAGTGAACACAAGTGTTTTTACATTTCAGTGTCGTTATTACAAGGAGAACCTTCACTCCAGGTAAGGCACAAACCCCAACAATACTGGCCTTGCATCCACAGCACCCGTTGGAAAATGTCATTTGTTTCAAAATGGTAACTAGCCTCAACTTCAAGAATCAGTGTACAAGTCTGTTAAGTGTTTGACAGATAGCAGGTAGCCACTCCTAGTCTCCATCTCCATCATGAAAATGCCTATCCAAGTCTGTCACATCTATTAGGCAACGTCCTTGGCTATTCTTCTCTTTTGTCAACTTTTGGTCATACCTCTGTTTGTGTGTCCCCAATTTAGATGCGTATTTTGTCAAATCATTTCCATATATACAGATAAATGTCATATGCCTGAAATACGCAAAAGGCATTAGACTTTAGTCTGGATATAGACATGCTTTTAAATTGATCACAGTACTATTTTGTGTACAAAACCTAGAGGCTTTGAAATACTTTAAAAACAAACTCTGTGTCCTCCTCTATCCAAAGTAGCACAAGACATCGTTACCCGTTTTTACCTGCACAATAATGTAAGCCAGTTCTCACTACTTCTGTTTAAGGACATGCTGCACTTATTTAAACTTTTAAAAGGGGAGGTGGGAATTTCATTTGCCTAAGTCATGTAAAGCAGCAACTTCTCAACACACCAGGGTCACCAGAATAATTCTGGGGAGAGCACAGCCACTGCAGCCTGAGGAACATCAGAAACCTGTTGGAAAGAAGCAGAGCATGTTCATTAGGCAGAGACTTCAACAACAGCTGACAGCAAATAAAGGATCTTTTCATGTGGGGGCATGCTCTTCATGTCTTAGCTTATTATTAACCTAAGGGCAGCCACTGGTGGCATGAGCATGCTTTGTGATTTAATCAACACAGTATCCTACAACACATATGAGAGATGGGGATTTATTTTCCCTGTTGGTTTGGAGAAAAGGAGGTAGGGATCTTTTCCTGGAGGAGCTTTCCATTAATGTATCTTTCTCTTGTTAATATTAAGTGCTACATCAAGAGTACATACACATTCGCAACATCATATTTCACACAATTTTATTTATAAAATTGTAATTATCTAACAAATTGCATATAAAATGATTTACTTCAAGTAAATACAGAATACTGCACAACTATTAAAACTATTGTATTGTCCATCATAAGTGTATTAAAACATTCCTAAAAAATGCCTCTATTAAAAAACAAAAACCCAAGAACACAAGTAGCATGACCAAGACCATTTTCAATAGCTTAAAATGAATTACCAGGAAGTTGCATTAACTTCCTAAGTAGACTCCAGTTACATCCATTGAGATCAGCATGTGATACAATACCACAGTCTAACGCTAAAGATGACAAGTAATACATTATGCACCTCATCTATGCTTTTCTCCTAGACTGAAGGGAACCAGTCTGAAATCAGAAAACTAAAGCTCAAGTCAAACTCTACTGGGCATGCAGTTCTGTTATAGCAATACTTTCAATCGGTAAGTGTAGTTGGCTTTTACAATCAATTTTACAACTGATAAAAAAGGAACACAAGAGAATACATTCGTATAAAAAGGAATGATACACAAAGGGTAAATATTGACACCTTGCTGTACACCTTCAGATGAACGAGAGAAAGACTCAGCTGGAACTTATCTGGAATATAAGTATCAGAAATGGCTCTGAGTCACAAACCCACATCCCAGTCTCCCCAGAGCTCAAGGTCCATCTCTATTACATACAGAGCATGAACATGAACACACATATAGATGGAGCTTTTTATTAGCACACTTAAATTGCCAAAACACAAAAGACAGCTAGCAGTGCTGCCTCTTGCACGCTAGTAGTACAACACTTCTTCGTATACTGCATGTTAAGGGTGACAGATTTCTTTTATTTCTTTTTTTCAAGGGGCAAATTTGGTAGCTAATGGATCGGGGTAGTATTGGTTCATTTGTTTTACACAGTTTCATCACCTGTTACAGGTATCTGAAAAAGATGCAGAGAAAAAACAAAAATGTTAGGAACTGGGACATTCAGCAGTGCATGACGCCTTTTGAGGTCTACTGTCCTTCCAAGGACAGTCCTTTGCAAAACTGCTATTTCAATGCACCCAAAATACATACACAACAAAAAGGGAAACAGAATCAAAAATTCAGCCAATAGTTTCTCTCATAACCAGCCATATTAATCAAGACCAATTTTAACAAGGGCATCTCTAAAGTACTGAAAACACAGATTGATGTCCAGGTCAGTTCTTATAGCACCATATTTAGTCCTGCCACAAGTGATGGCAACCTCCCATAACTGGTAGGAGGTTCTGCCACCTACTCTCCACTTTAGAGTCTAATGCTGTTCTAATGCCAAGCAGCAAAGGGAAAAGGCAAGGAAGGCCCTGCCACTAACAAGGGCCCAAAGGGATGGCCAGGGCTTCACCTTCCTCAGGTGCAGCCACCCACTCACTGGGTAGACACGCGAGCATGGGCAGCTGACGCACTCCTGCTGCTCCATCAGGGCGAGGGACAGCCCAGACAGCCACTCAGAATTCACCAGCAAACTCTCCTGGCAGACACCTTTCATCTCCATAATAAACACTTTCAGGGGGAAAAGCAGTCATGTGCAAGAATCATTTAATCTGCATGCTACTATTTACATTTCAAACACTATTTACACACCAGAACTACAATGAGCATCTCTCTCAAAGGGGAGAGAAGAAGGCTTTCAGGACAGAGTACACTTGAGCAAGCACCCCCACAGCTTCAAACTCTAAGGGGCACAATCAAAATTATGGATTTTAAGCATAGAGATACTACTGCTACCAAAACAGACACAAAGAGATTAATCAAACATTTGTCCATTAGGCTATTAATAAAAATTTTTAAAAAAAAACAAAACAAAACAAAACAAACCCAAACAACAGAAAGGACTGTGAATACAGAGGGTATTTAGAAAGCAGAGGAGCAAGGACTGTGATGCCCTCTGGCAGGGCCCAATGGGATATATGGAAATAGCTTTAAAGCCAGTGCTGCTGCTGAGCTACCAGAGTCCTCGTTAGTAATGCCACTACTCAGTAAACAGAGCTGTTTCCCACTCCATAAGCCTGACAACAAATTTATGAACAACTACTGCACATTAAAGATAATTAGACTGATCTCTGAACTCACATCTACCCCACCACCACATCAGGCAGGCTAGAAATTGCCATGGAATCCTAGTGCCTACCACATCTTATTGCTTTAGACACTAAGCCCATGTAGCCAGCAGTTGTGCTTTAGTTGCAGCTCATGTGAACTTTTCTAAGTTTCCTGGGAGAAAGTTTGCTTATATTTGCCAGGCTCTGACAATAATACATTGATTTCCAAGGCCTCCCACAAGCTTTCCAAACTGGACACCTAAGCTGCTGAGTAGATGTTGATGGGACATTTCTAGGACATCTTACCTGATCTGTAGACAAAAAAGTGGGATTTAAATGTGTAACAGACAGCTAATCCTAAACATTCATTGCACATCCATCAAAACAATGCAAAAATGAGTAAATAAGTATCTCTTGGGAACAAAAAAAAAAAAAAAAAAAGGGAGAAGGATCAACATCCGCAGCAAAAAAGACAAGCTCTAGAAAAGTAAGTTATTTAGTGGTTTTTTTAAGAACAGTCAGTCATTCCGGGATTCAGAAGTGTTGCACATTTGTGTGTAGACGTGCAAGTCGTGAGAACAAGAATTGCTCAGCTTGGAGCATTTACCCTCCTATCAGTCTGCCACTGCCAACAGCACAGCCAGCAGACTGGAACTCAGAGAACAGCATGACAAGACAGAAGGCCAATACAGTACAACTGCAGAGATTCAAGTAGAAGAACGAAGCTACCTTCATAAGCTCAGAGCAGCAACAGCAGTATTCAAGATCAGCGGCAACAAGGAATGTTTCTGTAATTAGGCTCTTTGTTTTCCCTCCAAACCAAAGCCTGGGATCACCATCAAGGCTCTTTGGTGGAGGGGTTATTTCCTCAACCCCACTCCCCTGATTCCTCCCTGCACCATTTTGTCTCAGTGCAGCAACACTGGTGCTGATGATCTGTCTGTCCTGCTACTATCATGCAAAACGGTATGTCCCTCTAGGGGAAAACAACTAGTAACTCCTCAAGTCAAGGAGTGGCTAAGAAAAACATAACACTGTGCTGAGGTGGAACCAACTTTATTAAGGACAATGAGTTATAATTACTTTGAAAGGCTTTAAAAATACTCTGAGTCATGGCTAGCCTTTAACAGCAGATACCAAAGGATATGGAGGCTGCCTGATTCAGAGCCAGTCAGTGGGAGTTAACCAGAAGAGGATGAGGTAATGCTCAAAGATGGGAGGACAACGGGTCTGTCTGAGGCATCTGTGAAGCACTGGCGTACCCATCACCAGCCTCCAGAGGGGAGAAAAACCACAGCCAACTAAAGCACAGAAAGGCATAATGTGCAAGGGTACATATGTTCATTTGTTTAAGAGTCACAGGACCAGAAAGGGCCTTGACAAGTCATCAAATCAGCCTTCTATCCATCCCCCAAAATAGGAGAGCTTTGAAAGCAATGTGTTCCTCTTCTCTACTCCATATACCTCCTGTTTCAGGAAACTCAGCTCAGAAAGATGTTACGTCCTTACCAAGGTGCTACACACCCTTTGCCACTGTCTGACCAAAGCAGGACCACAGCTTTCAGGACTGGTATGGAGATACTGAGAAGGGTCATAAAACATGGTAAATTTATACAAAGTGCAATAAATTAACCAAGCCATGGTCAGGTCTTTAGGTTCTCTATTATTAGTGAAGAAGAACAAATCAAAAGCGCTAAGCTGGATGGAGCCTGATTGAAGTCTTCTTCTACTGTTTGTGCTTTTTTCCACATTCTGCTTTCTTGTGTCCAATTCAAAAGGGTCTGTCTTAACTGATCTAATAAATGCTTCTATTTAAAGACTTTTACTCTGTTGCTTCAAGAAAGCTCTTGTTGCCTTTAGAGCAAGAAAGGGAGACACATCTCCATAGCATGGATTAGGTCACTGGAGGTAAGCATTTACTCTGGCAAAAACTGTTCTCTCCAACTTCCAAGAGAATGGGATATGATCTTTCCATAATCACATGCATTTATCAATAAATAAGTTTGGATTAGACTGAATTAAAACATATGCACATATTTAAAGCACTGGAGTGTCACAGATTCTTATTCCACAGCTCATGCAGGTAAAAAGAATTAAAGAAAAGAAAAAGGGAAAAAAAGAAAGACCAAAGCCCCAACTAGGAACAGACCAAAGAAACAAGCTTCGCACAAGTATGTCAAAGCATTAATATTAGTGAGATCCCTAAATACATTAGGTTACACTAAATTTCAGAGAAACAAAAGATTTTGCCATATCAGATACATAAGTTTTGACTTTTTTTAAGTTAATATATAATTCATTCTTTGAATATTATTCTTCACTTGGACCCAACATCTACACTGCTTTCATACATTTATACAGTCATATCCCATCCTTGCCTTAAGAGACTGATATCCAAAGGTATGGCAGCAACCCTTTTTGTCAAATATAAAACTCCTTTCCCTTCACACAAGGGTGGAGAAGGAAAAAAGATCTTGACAAAATTAAGCAATTCTCCCTTCTGCTGATTCCAACCTCAATGTACTATAGGGAGATAGTTGGAAGCTTGCATAAAAAAAAATTCCCTTGTTTTAAAAACAATTTCTTTTACTGTACAATAGATGCATAGAAAGTTGCTTCCTGCTTCATGGGTTTAGGCCTGTAGCTATGTTTAGCTGTGAAAACAAGAAGATTGTTCCTTTACAGAGTGGTGAGGAGATAGACCATCTCAGGAATATTTGGCAGCTATCAAAGAGCTCATGACATGAAGAATAAACAGCATATCCACAGACTACAACAACGCAACTCTGTCTCACTGAACACACCAATTTAAAAAAGTGTCCACTTGTTACTCAAAATCAAGAATACAGTAGAGATTCACGGCTCAACAGCTTTCAAAGTGGTGGTTTAAAAGAAAAAATTGTCAGTGAGCAGCAGATTTTCAATAGCCCACTCTTCTCTCCCCCACCCCAAAGAAACACAAGTTCACTGCAATATCAGGAACTTAGACTTGAGACTGCTCAGGAGAGAAGGCTTCCCTGTCACCCATGTCCATACAGCTTGGTGTCGGAGTGACACACTGGAGGTTTCAGAGGGTTTCGGTTGTCCAGTGTCTTGTTGTGGTTACTTCAGCAGTTTTACCAGCTGGCTCTGACAGCCTCAATGTCACTAACCAAATTCTGGGCTAAGCATATCCCAAATATCTGGAAGAGACAACAATTTATTCATTTGGAGCATTGGACAACTCTTTTCACACAGGCAAACTCCTTTGATTATAAAGAGCTTAGATATTAAATAACAGAGGCAGAAATTAAATTAACACTAAGTTTTAGAAGTAAGAATATTGCAGAACTCCTGTAACCCCAGTAATTTTATGGTGGCACCGGGTTCCAGTTAATTAACTGTTCTAGTCTTGTTTCAAAGCAACCATAAAGGCTCTCTGCTGTTCATTCAAGCACCATTGGAAACAGCAGGTCTGTACAGGCTTGAAAGTCTCTACATAAGCTTTATCTAACAGTGTTAGTTTCAGTCTGCTGAGAGTTGAAAAGAAAACAATGCATCCCTGTAGATAAAAATTAAGTATTCCTTAAAACAAAGTCTCATACATTTAGTTCTCACTGCTAAAACCCACAAACAAGACAACTGGCACTGCATTTACTATTCTCATATACAGTTTCCCCCCCTCATATATTCACTTTATCAATTATTCCTCTGTGCAACTCATTCCAGGGAACATGATGTTTACCTGCAGTAATGCTATCCCAATGAATATACCAGCAACTATGGTAAGGTTGTCCTGCAACCATTTCTCAAACTGAGGGACGCAGCCTTTAGTGTAGATAACAATCTGCTGATCAACTTCCTGCCAAGGAGAAGAGGGAAGAAAACAGATAATTACATTCAACTACATCATCAGTAAAATAATATCCTCTTCCAATAGGGATTCAGATCCTTAACATACCATATTAAGAAGGGGAAAAAAAAAAAAGCAGCTTACTGGTTTTTGCCTTGCATCATAGCCACACTGAGTATTAATAACATCTTCCTAGAGGAGAGAGAGAAAGAAGAGAGGCAATCAGTAAAATGTCTCCCCAATACCTTCTCCCAGCATCCTGGAGTTGATCCTGTATGTAATAAAACAATCACCCAAACTTTGGTTAGCATATTGCTTTAATAAAAAAATCATTCCTCCTTCTCTCTGTACTATTAATTATTTGCAGCAAACAAGAGTACATGGTCAAAAAAAATTTTATCTCTCAAGTCAGCAAACTGGGAAAACCAGCCCTCCATGTTCCAGATGCTAGCATTTAATAAAGGAACTGGGGAACATCTGTGGTAAATGAAAGAACATTCTACTGATAAGGTTTTGTCTGTACTAAAAAGTATGCCAAGAGTACTGTTGCCATTTTCACGGTTCAGTCTGTGCAGAATGAAGAGGTGACATGGGGCAGTTCGGTTGCAGAAGCTGCAAGCTCTTTCTGAGAATGTCTCTAGAACTATGTACAGTTCCTTTCCAAAAACCTGGAAGAAAAAAGAATAGATGGAGTAATCTGTTCTTACTGCCTGTTCTTTCTTATAGGAGCTTGATACCAATGGGAAAGGAGGGTTTTTTCCTACTCCCTTTCCTTTAGTACTCCCAAAGCACAGGTAATAAGATAGGCTCTGGCAGACTTTCTCTAGTGAACAAATGCTTGTCATTGGCAGCTGAAGCTCTATTTTTATTTTATTTCATGGTAATTTATTTCATGGTAATAAAAAGAAGCATGAAACTTTTGGCATCAGCCACAATGGCAGCAAAATATTAAGTTACTGGCTTATCATATAAAGACAGTAAGCAGAAGAAGGACTACTCAAGAAAGTGAGAAAATCAGCCAATCTTATCTACATGTACCAAACACCACAATTTAATCAAACTGTGGGAAGTGAGAGAGGCAAGCAGTGAAATGGATTTTAAAAAGCAGTCATATGGAAAACAGTATCTCCTATCAGCATGGAAAGCTCCTCTGTTTCCTCACTTTGCAGGAAGTCCAACAAGTCACATTCCGTCAGCTGCCCAAAGTGGATTCCCCTAATGGACATTCAAAATGCAAGTAACTTGTATCTCCCAATGAGATGAATGCTTCTGTTCCAGGATCTAAGTGCCACAGACTACAAGGAAAGGATGTAAAAGTACCTAAGATTCTGACAGAGGGATTTTAAGTTTTCTTCCTTGTATTAAATGCCTACTTGCTTCATCATTAATGTCTTCTGCCTTTTTAGCCTTGGAATTTGTTAACCAAAAGAAGGTACAAAAAATGCAATGGATATAAAAAAGTTTTCTAGACTTGCCTGTACAGGTATTTGGAACACTTCAACCTCCTTAACTACATCAAAATGAGCTACAGTAATCAAAATTTGTTTCAAGAAACTTATTTTAGCCTGCCTTAAACTTACCAGTTCCTGATTCAAGCTAAACTAAAAACAATAAGGCATCCACATAACTGTTTGCATCAGTCCAACACTGAAACCTAATTCTAAAAAGGACAAATTTGCTTTCCCACAGAATAAACCTGTGTTTATCACTGTAATTGAACCAATCACAGCTTGGTCACAATTATTTTACATGTATGCATGACTTCTAATGTTTTCAGTTTTTAGAGGCCGTTAAGGTTGCTGTTTCCTTACAGTGAATGAGACTTATCTGTAAATTTCTGCTTGCTGCATCACATCCTAACAAACGACATAGCTATTTTCACAACAGAGAGAAAGAGAGAACTTTAGGATGGATTATGTATTTATAGGATTATCTTGTACTGCTGTCACTGGTTTGGTTTTATAACAACTATATTTTTAAAACTGGGTTGTAATGACCTCTGTGTGGGTGGGTGGGTAGATAGGCAAACAGCAGAGGGAATCCTAAGCATAAGGTAATGCATGAGCCTAACCTACATTTTGTTTTAATATCCCATTGAAATATTTTCAGCTATGTTTGTGAGACAAATTCAAACTACTGTGAAGACATGTTCACTACTGAGGAACCAGAACCAGCCCGTGCAAGTGGTCGTGCCTTATCAGGAGAGGGGCAGAGCAGCAGCAACTGGATGCCAGGAGCACTGACTGCATTGCATTAGTCAGGCAGGAAGCACCTGAGATGCCTTTTGGCAACTTGCCTAACTTCAGTCTGTGCTAGACTAATACATTCAAGGAACTATAAGTCATTCCAGGTGGAAAAAAAGCCACAGCTGAATTGCTAGATAACACAAGCACTCAAAGCCAGCTTCTTTCAAGCTATATGAAGTCAAATGTATACAGTGCTAGGCACGTAACAGTTTCCATGCACATACCCATCCCTGTTCCAAGCCTTTCACTATCAGTATAATGTAAAGTGAAAAGCAAAGTGTAGAGTCCCTACACTTTTCACTTTACTCTTCTTTATTATTATATCCATATTTTCACTTTACTCTTCTTTATTATATCCACATTAGCAATTCATGGCTCCAATACTTTCCACTTGATGATCCAGAACTATAAATATTTTTAAAGGCATGAAAATTTACCAAAAAAGCTCCTCCCACAAACGATTTCTGACCTTTGAAGTCTGATTTCAGGTGACTGTAGGACAGGCAGTAATTTTGAAGGTAAAAAAACATGTAAAGATACCCATACCCAACTCAAGATTCTAATGCAAACATGTCAGTTCCTCAAGGCACAGACTCATTCATTACTGTACCTGGCACAAACTAGGTCAAACTGGCTTCAGCCTCAGGACACTGCATTAAATAATGAATAATACCTCCTCTAAAGTGTCTGATCTTAAGGGTTCCTGTTCAGATGAATTTCAACTGAAAGCTCACATCCTTCAACTCATTAAGTGCTTCTCATTTTATACTTGCTAAAATTAATACGCATGTTCAGCCAAGCCCATAGTTCTCTCTTTCTAATAAAAGCCACAAACAGTGAAGACTTAAGTTATCTTTTGAGTTTTGCTGACTGCAGAAGTTAGTGGTTAAGCTAAGCTGCAAGAACAAAAAAAAATACAGGTCAGTGAGAAGTTAATAATTAGGCTAAATTTCCAGACATAAAAAAGGAAAATCTTGAAGAGTTATTTACAATTGGAACAGCAGACCCATCCTACCCTCTAGACCATCACTTACAGCAGGGTCTTTAGTACAGCAAGAGAACGGCACACCACAGCGCTCTCGACTCGCGTTGGAATCTGTACAATTGAAGTAAATATTAAGGTTCCAGTCATCGGCTCCAAAAGCCCCACAGCACTGCCACTAGAACAAAAAAAGAAGAGCTTCTTAAATTTCAGAATGAAAATCTCAGCATTAGTAACACGCACCATTGCTGCCAGTTTCCCTCTAGCTTTCAAAACAAAATCTGAGACTCCCACTGTTTTCATTGAAACTGTTTGGGTTTTTTTTTGTTAGGTTGGGGATTTTTGTCATTTTTTAAAAATACCATTCCAAATGTGTAAGCTGTTCCAAAGTTATCATGTGATTAAAGTTACGTTCACACACTGCTATGCTGCTCTCTGGAGAGAAACCTGTGGGTGAGCTGATAAGCCTACACAATACCACAGGCCTACAAGCTCAGGCCTGAGGAACAGTAGAGCCAAGAGTACAATAAATATTCTGTCCAGTCTAACAAGCCCTGGATTTTCAAATAAACAAGCTCCAAGGATACACTGGTATAGCTACTCCTTTTGCCAGTTTAGGGGAACTTTGCCTGGCTGCAGGCTGTACATCGGACAGTGTGAACACACTGCTCCCTGAGCATCACACATTGCACAATTAACACCTTCATTGAATCTTTCAATGAGTAAATCTGCCAAAGGCAGGCTTAGTCTCTGGCAAAACATGTTGAACACATGAAGAATTGATGTGTTTTGCTGAATATACGAAGAATGGACTGGAAACCAGTGAAGCACTGGAAACCAGTGAAGTTTACAGCCTTCAAGGAGTTAGAATAATGAACCCATCTATGTCAACTTTAAAAAAACCACAACAAACCAACCACATTTTTAAAAGCACTGGAATAGCCATTTTCTCTTTCTAGATGTAGCAGTTCTCTCTGAAATACCTGATGTGTTGTCTTCATGCACTATCTCTACCATGGTTGAAGAAGTAATTCGTTCTCACAACTCATGCTGCCCCTGACTTATTTGCTGAGTGCGAATCCAGTTAGGAGAGAGCTTTAGGAAGCTGCAAAACTGGACTGTAGACTTTGGCTGCATACAAGTGGACCAGTACTTTCAGTTTGTAGTGACCTGTGACCTTCTTGCAAAAGATTCAAAATAGTGCAAGGATCCACATCCTGTTACTTACCATTCTTCCTCCAGGTTTAGAGAAGCAAATCAAGCATTGAAATTAATTTAATTGCAGAATGTACAAAAATTAGTAAACATGAATTCAACCAACACTTAGCCATGTTAGCCACACAGTGCCAGATTCATAGAGGACTTCATCAACAAAGGCCAGAACTGAGTAGTAGAGAGGGAAGGTACAGGCACACCTTGTGTGCAAAAGTCAGTGCAAGACTTCTTCACACACACTGAGAAATTACAGAGCTTAACCTGCACAAACAATTGCACCACTGGTTTCACCCTTCCCTCCCAAGTGCAGATGTGGCATCACTTAGAGATGTCCTATAAGAACTCTACAAGTGGCCCACTTCATTAGGCTAATTCTATTAAGCCTAATTCAGAAGAAATAACATTGTAGTTTCATTTGGACCAACTAAATACCTCTGCCACTCTGCAGTGTAGTGTAGCACTTCTAATGTTGCTAAAACTACACCAACATTCATCTTAGGACCAAATGAAGCTGAGAAAAGGAGTAATTTCTTAAACAGACATGATTGCTTTTACAACAAATTATTTTAACTTGGTGCATTTGACACACTATCTCTAAGTCTTCAAAAAGTCACCCCAACTCTTCATCTTGTTTTACTCAGTCATACATCAATAAAGGCACTTTACACAGGTATTGTATGCTTGTAGAAGTTCTGTAAAAACAAATATAAATATATTCAAAAGCACTACATGCTAGAATATTTCTGCTGCTCCTTGAAGAACAGAACAGATGGAAAGTTAAAAATAAGAGCAGGTATTTCTCAAAAGTAAGCTTTACAAAAAAATAAACATAGTCCAACTTACATATTCCTGTGTGAAGTCTATGAGGTTTTGTAAATCAATGTCATCTCGGTATGCTCTGATGTTGTTGTTTATAAAGAAATACAGCTGGTCCTTTATCCAGTCTTTGAAAACAAATGCTAGAACACCAGCAGTGAGCTCCAAGAAGAAAATAATTCCAAGAAATACAGAGAACTATAAATAAAATAAAAAAGGCTAGAATTATTTTCCTTTATGACCAAATCTTTTTCAAAGCTCACAATTATATCCAGTGATAAGGCTTTATCTGTTTCAGTGCAAGTTCAAGCCATTTTGGCACATAGGAAATTTCACATTAAAAACACACCATTTTTATTGGAGTTTAGCACAGAAACCTTAATTCTATTCTAACAAATAACAAAAATGGTAACAAATATCGAAACCTTGGACATTTCACTGAAATTTTCAAAGAGATTCAAGAGAATTCACTGTAAATTTCAATACAAAGCTAGTCACCACCACATGTAGGGCCCTTGAAAACCCATCCTAAATTTCTACATAGGCACTTACATTTTAGAAGGCATAAACAACCAAGAGTGCTAGTAAAATGCTTTCTACATGACTTTTGCTTTAGATCCTCTCACGGGCAAAGCCCCGCCTAAGCAGCCAAAGCAGAAACTGGTAACAGCAGAAATTAATTAATGACTAAGTCGGAGCGGAATGTCTATGAAATGACTCACATCCACGTTAAAATTAAATGAGGCTGCTATGATTAATGCAAATGCAATGGATGCCAAAGGCATTACTAATGATCTGCCACTTTCTCTAAGCATTTCCACTGAATCTACACTCTTTTAAGCCACACAGGGGTCCTGGTATACTGGAAGTCCATCCCCTTTGCAACTGTGCCTTTGAGTTTCATTTTAATATGCTCTCTGTGCGTGTTCAGATACATTTTTAATTTCTCCTGCAGCTGCTGTATGGGAAGCTATTTCTGGTACAGCAGATGGGTTCATTTTAGGCAAACTAAGAGAAGCAAGGAAGAAGCAAAAAAAAAAAGTGTTACAAGCTGCTTTATAAATGCCTGAAGAACTGTGACTCTCAATTGCCTCCTCCCCTTATACAACATTACTGTGGGAGCCAAATGTGTCACTTGGAGGCACTTATTCCACTGGAAGTTTTTTCATGTATATATTAACAGTTAATGGTTATGAAGCCACAACTGTGTGCACAGGCTGTGCCCATCTCTGGAAATGGAGGAAAGAATTTTCTTTATTATAAATCTTCTATTTATCTAAAAGTGAACATGATACTGATACCCTCATTTTCAAAAGTCACAGGAGGAAGTCTTTCAAAATACAGAACCTGGCTACTTAGCTAAAAAAGTTCTGCATACTGAGGTGCATTTGTATACCAGACGCTCCTTCCCTAACCAACAATCCAGCCCAGAGTTCAAGAAAACTTCAATTTTCTTTCCACATCCTGGACTCTCCTCCCCCCTTCTCCTTCTCAGGCCCCAGCACTGAAAGCAGTGAAGCCTCTTCCATTTAAGCTGAATGGCACAGACTGAGGATATCAGCCAGACTGAGGATATTGTAACAGTCCTATCCCCTCTGTACCCTGAGGGGCCCTGGCACAGCAGAAGTCACATGGGTCACATTCACTGCAGCAACTACATCCCTCACATTTCACAGGCAGCTTGTTATGGACTCCAAGTTCAACATGCAGATTCTCACAAGAAATTTCTCTCTTTTTGTGACAGGGAAGCAAAATGTTAGGCTACGTCCATATGAAAAGCAGTACTTCCATGTTATGGTTCTTGCCACCAATAGCTTTGAGCTTTAAAAAAGTACAGCCAGTAAGTACCAGAGACTGAAGAACTGTAATATGTTAAAAGCTAAGTGATTTCATGGTACTCTGACACTGGATAACACCTTCCTCTCCAAAATACATTTTAAAAGCTTAACACAGTCAAACAGAACAGACAACATGGCACGCTACATAAATGAGGAATGTCACAGTTGCAAAAGCTACTTACAAATTTGAGAAGAAAAGTGTTCTCTCGTAAAGCTCCAATGCATCCTGCAAATCCCAAAATGAACATAACTCCTCCTACCACTAGGAAGAGCCAAACAGGATCAAAGCCTCCGAGGTCAGTGATGGAGGAGATATTGGACAGCACTCCCTGAGAAAAAGACAATGTTTCTGTTGTATAAATTCTGCCTGCATTTTTCTTCTTAAAAAGGAAGAAGACTACAGCAAAATAAATGTTCTGCAGTACAGCAAGAAAACACAAGAAAATCTTTGTATCCCAAAAGAGATAAAAAGTGCAATTATGTGCAATATTTCTGAATCAACATGTGAATGAGCAACAAAATGTTCTTGAAGAATTCTCTGTGAGAAACCCACAGGGCATTTTCTGCTTATTTAGCTATAATAAGTAGTCTGCCAGAAACTCAGAACAGATATTTGAACAAAACTTAACTCATTCCTATTACCCATGCTGAGATGCATTTTACGTATCATATACATTGTCTATGTAAACACACAGTTACATGTTATATAGAAAAAAAAACTGTTAAAAACAATAAAACCACCTTGAATTTAGCATTTACTCTCATTATTTATAGCAATTGTCAGAAATTAGAAGTGAGCTCTTAGGTTGCAGCATCTTGCAACAAAAAACTTTTCAACAAATTTTGACAAACTACATATCTGGCCAATTCAACTTCAGGCACCTACAGTGCCAAAACCTCATTCTAGAAATGAAGTATGGCTACTGACTGCTTAGTGAGCCAGAAAAATTTGAAATATCGAAGTCTCTTAGTAGGCTGAAAGACAATTTAAGAACTTGTCTTGGGGCATGGTTTATACTAACTTAGGGTAGACCTATCATATGTTAAACCACATATGCTGTGTTTTAGATACGGCTGTCAGCACAGTCTGCTTGTAATGCCATTTTTGCCTTAGAAGCAAAGCTTGGGTTGCAACACCAGTAATCTTGAGGAACTATTTTAATTTTTTGAACACATTTTAGGCGGAGTTTGGCTGATGTTGAACAGATGGGTTGTATCAAGAAGCAAGTACAAAGTTTACCATATCCAGTGAGTTTGCACAGGAACAATTACAGTTTCCTAAGGCTTTTTGGCAGAAAAAAAAATGCTGAAGTGTCACTATTTCTTCATTCCCCTCCCCAGTGCTGTAGGTCAATGAAAAGCACACTTCTGTGTTTCCTCACAGAAGCCTGAACCCAGGCTGAGTGCTTTGGACTACTGCTTCCTCTAACTCCTGCATGATTCTGTGGCTTGGGAAACAGCAACATAGATCTCTACACCTACAGCTCCTTATTTGCAAACCTCTATGCTTCATCCTTTTTATTCTTCCTGTTCATACCCCTTTGTTTCTTTGAAATAGTCCCAAAACAGCAATAATTTAGAGGGAAGCTACCATAACCTCATTTCCAGAAGTTTTAAGTAACATTGTTAATGATGACTGCTCACAACTGTGGCTTTAGACTTGTGACACACATACATTCATTCTGAACCACTCAAAACATATCAATTGCCATGTAACCAATATCTCTAACACATTACTTCATGTAGTCTGCAACCATTTTCATAGTTTCCCAAGCAAAACTTGAGCAAGTAATAAATGAAGACAGTACTCAAAGTTCTTAATTCTGCAGACAAGGACAGAGTAAATAAAATATACATGTGAATTTCACCAATGCACACATCAAGGAGCCTTAGGAAAGACTGAAATCCAGAGAAAAATCTGACTCCAATCTAATCCTACAATACAAACAATAATCCAACAGCATGAATAACATTATCTAAGTATATTCTTTTTCCTCCTACTAGAGAAGACTATTGCCTGAGAGGAATGAAAAAAAAAAATCACATTCATCACTTTCCTCCTACATCACATACAGTACTAGCCTTACTGTCATTCATTAAAAAAGCAAAAAGATGTAAGGAACAATGTAACACAACTCAAAGCCAGCACTGCTATAAAAGTGGAGCAGTTGGCCCATCCCTTTTTCTGGTACTATCTCAGTGAAGAGATGATACACACCAAGATGAAATGAAGATTTACCTGTCATTAACACTATATCAACTTGTGCAAAAGTTTTTCTACTACTTTTCTTTCATTAAATTTGTCACAGAAAATAAATCCAAGCTAACTTTCTGGCTAAGAATAACAAGTAATATAAACAGGATAATCCAACAACACAAAACCTTTGAAAAAACCAAGGCCTTGGCCCTACACAAGTTAAGAGGCATGAGCTCTGCCTCAAGGGGAAAAACAACTACTAAAATTATTTCTTCACAAAGCTTTAAAGTCCTTTCCCCTGTGCTTATATAGTTACCATAAGATGAGAACAAATTCTGTTCTAACAAACATTACTACTCTTTTCTTGTAACATTAGCTGATTTTGGAATTAATGGACTGTAGTGTAGTGGAGTGAAAAAAATCTAGTCACTGGAGAAAGGATGTTGCCTTTGTTATTACTTGGATTTACTTAAAAAAAAATATCCAAGAAAGATTTAAGAATCCAAAATCCAAAAAAGATTTAAGTCTCTCTTCATAAGACACTGCATTTCTTTAAAAACAAAGCAAACAAAACCAAATAAATCAACAAAAAAACTCTAAGCAAATTACTACGCTAAATCAACTTCTTTCCATATGAAAGTAGTAAAATCCAAATTAAAAGAAATCCACGTAAAATTCAGCTCACATTTGTGGATAATACTGTTAGAGAAGACAGTTATATTACAAAAGTGGTAGTAACAAACATACTGCTTTGTTTTTGTCACAGTCACATTAAATTCGACGGCAACAAAATTTATTGAGCCAGTTTTATACTGTTTTTCCAATCCTGCCCTTTTTCCCTTTACTTGATTTTCTAGAACTGCCAGGCAGCCTGTAATGCCACATGTTGGCTGGCCACTCCTCAGGGTAGCTATGATCCAACACAAACTGCATAGATCAACACAGGCTTTATCTGCCATTGTTTGCTGTCCTTGGAAAGCACCTTTATGTGCATCTGTTGCTAGTCCACATATGGCAATCATAAGCCTAGCTTGGATAAATCCCAAATAACACATCTTAACAATGCAAAGCACATACTGCTTAATTCTCATTTGTACTCTGTATGCTCTCTGCACATGAACCGCAAGTTATCAGCGTTCTGGAGAGACATCTCAGGATACACTGTCTTCAGAGAGGCTTTGTCAATAAAACAATAGCTAGCAGTGGGAATGAGAAACACAGACAATGCTCTGTGATTACAGCTCAAGATACACAGAGGTAGTCTGATAGAAAATTACCACTTACTGCTTAGAATACAATTTTCCAGTCTTGTACTCTGGACACAAATAAGTTCTCTGAAGATGCAGCAGTGCAATACCTTGAAGTAAAGCATATTTTGCTTCAAGCAGCAGGGCAACAACTGGGGAATAATATCTCACTTTATGTTGTTAAGACGATCTAAATGTACAGTCCTCTAGGAAACTTCCTATTCACTACAAGTTTCTATAATGCCTACTACAACTACTACCACAATATCAAATATTTTTTTGGCTGCAACAGCTACTCCTGGGAAAAGTTTGACACAGAGGTACGAACATCTGGTAGTGACCAATTCTGTCTTCAACCCATCTTTAGCCAAAAGCAGAAGGAAACAATTCCAGAGGTGCTTGAGCAGAGGATGTGTAATCTCATAGTCTAACACTGCACCCTCCACAATGTGCTCTAAATCCTCAGGCTGAGCAGTCAGTCATGGAATAGATGGTGACTGTCCACTTCTCTCATACATCAATGCAAGACCTAAACAAACCACCTGTAAATACTTTAAAGTAAGGCTTTCTACAAATGCAAGGCATTTCTCCTCAGCAACACTATTGCAGTTGCCCTCTACAACCACAAGTGTTAAATCATTGTGAGTACTCTGATACTTTAACATCTAAAATTAGGAGCAATTTTTTCCTCTAGACGCATTTTCATTTTGAAGTACGGCTAGTTTTGAGGTACATGCACATCACTTTCTCAGCAGTTTAGGCATTTGTGTAATCTGTATTTGGCAGGAAATGCTTTGTTTGTACAAAGCTACGTACTCAAGTAATTTACTTCTCACTATGGTGTCAACCCAGGGCTCTGCTGTAGTCCCACAAGGAGAGCCAGCAGGACATGCTCCCTGGCTGATCTCCAAGCTCATCTGTTTGCTCTGTTCCTCCACCCTCCACAGCCTGTTGTATATAGCAGCCCATGAGTCGCTATTTCATATTTTAATCCAACGCAAGCCAAAATTTATTTGGTGTAGTAAAACAACAAAATCATCCATAAGTGAACTAAAATAACTAACAGTAAAGCTATGAAAAAGGTTCCTTTATTTGTGACATGTATTTCAGTCATTAGGATACAATGATGCATGGATGGAAGAGGAAAGACTGACCCCACATTTCTACCCCACCCCAAATTCAGGGGAAGTCAAATGAAATGGTTAGGACTTGGCTCTTTTCTCAACACAAGGGTACATTCCACCCACCAAGAAATGTGAGACAACCAAGCCAAGCCTAACAAAAACTCCTACACAACTGGAGTCTTCTCCTCCTGGTATGTGAGCACAGGTAAGAAAAAAGCCTGAGAGATGCCTGACAGGTCCTCTGGTGCCATGTTTTTCTCACGGCCAGAGCCCTCCACACTATAAGCAGGATCTCATGTATAGCTCAAGGGAGAACAAGGTAAAGGAAAAATGGTGGTCTGGAACACAGGAGCTTGTGAATGCCCCTCCTGATGTTATATCTGATGTTACATCCTGATGATACATTTATAGCTGCACAATGGTTTGCCTTTTTCCCATCAATAAAGAATAAGGAAGCAACAGCTACATACAAAAGCAGTAAGGGTGCACACCTCACCCCTTCTCCATCTTGTACTCTTTAACATCATCAAAACAGCTTGTACTACTTTCCAGAGACAGACCCCTGACTCCAGCTTCTGCCTTGGATGCACATCTAGATTAATATTTCAGGTCAGATCCAGCAGTCCTTTTGAAGTGATCATACACAAGCTGTGCTTCAGTTCACACCAGGAACACTCTCAGAGGACACAGACTGGATTACTTAAAAATTAAGATGTGCCCCTGGAACACAACTCTTGCTCCAACCACTAGCAGGCATTTGG